TACCTGTCCTGTGCACGCAGGCGCTGTGGAGTACACCAGCGCTGCGTTGCACGCGGATGCTGTGGTGTAGACAAGCGTTGTGGCGTGCACAGGCGCTGCGGTGCACGCGAACACTGTGGTGTACACAGGCGTTGTGTTGCACATGGCTGCTGCTGTGTATGTACACCGGCGCTGTAGTGCTCCCAAGTATTGTGGTATACACGGGCCGTGCGTTGCACACGGTTGTTGTAGTGTACGCAGACGCTGTGGTGCACACGCGCGGCGTGGTGCACGCGAGCGTTGTGGTGTACACAGGCGCAATGGGCAGATCGCCACTTACATGCTGCTCGCGTCGTCGTCGTCGCTCGCCGCTCGTCGCTCGTCGCGTCGTGCGCGCGGGCACGGCTTTGGTGCCGGAGCCACTCGGCGGGGGGGGGCGTCTTGTCATACCCCCCCCCGCCCTCCTCCCCCCCCATGACGCCCGTCATCGCCGAACATAAAGAAACGCGCTCATGTCTTGGTTGCCCGCTAGGACGATATAGTTCCGAGAGTCCGTGAGTAACAGTCGCATGTATACGGGTGGTGATTTGTTACCAATTCGTCGATTCTCAGGGAATTCCACCAAGATACCATCACCATTGTCAAATACTGCTGCAAACATGATCGCTCGATATCGAATGGAGGTCGGTAACGTTATGAGCCTTGGGCACCATTTCCCCATGCCACCAATCATGTCTCCTGTGACGGTCGCGCCGCGCATGGCTGGGATCTTGAGTGGTACCATTGCCTTACCGATACCAGGAGTGGGTTTGCCGTCTATTCCGGTAAATTGGGCTCGAGTAGGTCTCGATTCGATATCAGCACCACCAAGTACTTCTGAGACTCGCGAACCGTATCCGTCCCAATAATACCTGATGATGTTCCAGGACCATATGATAAGCCAAACTTTCTCGCACCTCGAATAGAATGAAACTCGTGTTGATTTCCTCCGCATTGTGGCAGTCCGTCGTCGAATGTTGCTGGTCATAACACAGGTTCTGTACTTCTCTCACCAGAAAATCCAAGCCGCCGGGAACAATACCTCTCGGAAGTCGTTTGGGTTCGTCCTGGTCGTTGTCATCAAATGTAACCGGTGATCCCATATCTGATCCAAAGTCTCTCTGGATGTTTCTCGCGGTTCGTCATGGTGTTGTTGGTCCGGCTGTTGGCGTCAGTGAGGATGGAGTTGGTTTCGAGGGTCCATTTTGGAATCCTTGTCCTAAGTCGGGTGATTCTGGGTCGTCAAGGCTATATGAAGGTACCGTCTGCAATGATGACCATGATGCTGCATTGGGCGTTTCCTGGTGTGTCAATGCTGTCCACAAGGCGCCATTGTTGTCTGTGGTCTTCTTTGCAAACCAACTGCCGTGAGTACTGTACCATTCCTCGTCGTAGTCGTCATCGTCGTACTCGCCGTAGTGACCCTTGCTCTTTTTACTTTTGCCTTTGCCTCGTCCTCGATAGCCTTTTCCTCGTCTTTTGCCTTTGCTGCGACTCTTGCCACTGCGGTACTTACCTTTGCTGTTGTTCTTGCCGTTGCTCGAGTCGGGTCTGTCCTTACCTTTTCCTTGGAGCCGGCTGGGCGGTCCTCCGTCTTGTGCCATCGTGATCCACATTTACTGCAATTACCTGGGTTACCTTTTTGGCCCTTGCCGGATCCTTTGTGCGCTTCGTCGTCGTTCGACGTCGGTGGTGAGTAGTTGCTCTCGTCGTATTCCTGATCGTGTGAGTATTCCCACCAATCGTCATCCTCGTCATAATCATGCCTCTGGCCGTAGTCGTCGTAATAACCGTAGTAATCCCAACATTCTTCGTCTTCCGAATCGATCCAATAGCCTTCGTATTGTTCAGGGTTGTTCTGGGCCAGTGACTGTTTGGCGAGACGTATCATGATCGCCTTGATGTCGTCGTATCTCCGAAGGTCACCGTCGATCTTGAGCTTGATGTCGTCGATGCGTTTGACCGATAGATCACATCCCTGAAGCAACAGATAATTCTTGCCAGCTGCGTTGATATTAAGTCCAGTTTGGTCCACCGCTTCATCATGCACAAGCTCGAAATCCGAAATATATTGTCCGAGATCTCTCGGACTTCTCTTGAACGTAAAGAATTTGTCGAGCGCTACTCCTACTGTATCTTGATCGTGCAGTCCATATTCCGCCTCCAGCCACCGAGTGAATAGAGATAAGCCCGACGGCTGGGCTAAGGATCCGTGCGCTGGGGCTGCTTCCGTCCGTACTAGAGCGAAGGCGTTCTCTCCAACAAGTTCTTGACCGTCTCTCTCAATTTTGAATCTCAATGCCTGCTTGAACGCGCCTCCTTGGAGACGCTGCACTACTAAGAGTGCTGCCACACTGTCGTCGTCGACGTTCTTAGTTCTCCACCAGAATGATCACTTCTGTGAATATTTCTTGATACCATATCGAGCTACTCCCGGCTTCCAGCCGGGTGGTATTTGTCTCGTGCTCTCTTCTAATGGCAACGATTGCGGTCTCGAATAGTCCATCTTGATTCGTTGAATCTCGATCGGGTGTACGCCAACTTTACCGCGTGTGTGCTGGTGTGAAGTTCTCGTCCACGGTATCACTCCCAATATCAATAAGATAAGAAGTCCCACCGAGCCGTAGAGCCGTCGATCTGGATGATGTTGCTGTTCTCCGTGGGGATGATGTCGACCCTGTGGGTCGTGGTGCCGATCTCGTCGGTAATGCTGCTCACCTGGCCGGTAGCGCTGTCCACGAAATAGGATATTGCGGCTCGCGGCCTGGCGGGGCGGGGCCGCGCGCGCCGCCCGATGGGCGGCTCCGCTACCAGAGCGGAGATCGCTCTGTTTTCAAAGAGCTTGAGCCCGGGTGCAGTTGCAGTCATAGATAAGTCAGTTAGGTGAAGCCAAGCCAGCACACAATACACGGATTCAGAACAGATATTATACCTGTCCTACCTCAGACCTAAATCTTCGCTGGGGAGGCGGGGGAGGGGAAGGGGACAAGCTGGGTGCGTTCGCGTCATATCTGACGTCCTACCCCTCCCTCCCATCCCTTACCGTGGCGTAGGTATCCTCTCTATTCGCACAGTCGGATGTCCTAGCAGGGCATAGCAGTACATGGCATAGCATGGTGTTGAAGATCAACGCGTAGCTTGACACCCCGAAGTGCAGCGAGGGCTTCTGCGGCCCAAAAACACACCGAATCGGCGCCGAATGTTTAATCACTTCCGATGGTTGCTTCGGGGGACCATTTTCTAGTTTTGGGGTCCTATTTGGAAGGACCGAAAACCATGCCGTGGCATGGCGCTGGAAATAATTACGCCAACGCTGCAGCGGGAGCACGATTCGGCACGAGCGGAAGCGCAGAAACAAGGCCAGCGGTGCAGCGGGAGCACGATCCCGAATGAGCAGAAGCGCCGAAATGAAGCCAGCGATGCAGCGGGAGCACGATTCGGAACGAGCGAAAGCCCTAAAATGAGGCCAGCGCCTAAGCGAGAGCAGCATTTTTTGAACAACAGCTCCGAGACATATTCCGCCACAGACTCAGGGGAGAGAGGACAGTAGTATTCATATGGAGTAACTGCAGAGGGGGATGAGGAGGGCAAACATAACGAAACCGGCATTACGCGTGTGTTGTGTACGCGTATACATTTCGGTTGCCCAATGTTGGCGCGGATCCAGCGGTCCGAGAAAATAATCCGTAAGGGCTTCGCCCCCTGCCGCGGGCCCCCTATCTCGGAGAATGCGCTATGCGAGAGCTATGTCATGAGACCTGGGCGCCGTCGTGAAGCAGTATCGGAACTTCATGCGAGGCCGATTCGTAATCGTCAAAACCAATTGACTTGTCTTGTGAGCCTTACCCCGCCGATCTGCGTGAGGGGTGCCACCGAATTTCAGAAATGTGGCACATTCCCTGTGTTTTTGGACCCTGACCCCGCCGATCTGTTGGGCCCCTCGCGCGGTCCATCAACAAGGAACAGTAAGCAGCAAGAAGCAGAACTGTAACAGTGGAAACTGGAAGCTGCAACTGGTACAGGAAACTGCGAACCTTCGCCCTACAGCCTGGTGGCCCCATAAGGGGGCCGGCGGATAAAATTCCAGGCGGAGGTTGTTCGTAGTCCTTGGCCTTCTGCAAGGCGTTTCTGGGCTCTGGGACCGTGAGACACCTACTTGGCACGAAGATCAGATGGGCAAACAGTCCTGATAAATGATGCGTTCTAAACGTACACGAAGTCAACATTACCATCCCATCGGTTCCCGAGAAGAGATCGAGAGGTCCAGGAGCCACCTGTGGAAGCAATCACGAAGACGCAGAGCTGAGGGGGTGGGCCCATGCCGGCCAAGGGCCAGAGTGCGTAGATGGGATCGGAGGATCCAGGCAAATAAGCCATTCAAATTAATCCTTGAGACCCCCTATGCTATCCTGCTGCCCCCCTGGCCTCCAATCCGCACGTCCGACGTCGATATCTTTACAAATCACGGTTCTTGGAGTTCTCGATCTTTTCCCATGTACTTAGTTTTTCGTCCCAATTCTTTTCTTAACGGTCCCAGAGCTCGAGCTCGATGAGAACAAGCAGTTGTGATATTGTCAGGACGTTGGAGGCCTGGACCCGATGAGGTCCTTGCAGGTCTCAGGAGATTCCTGGGCCTCCAGATATTGGCCAGGAGCGTCCAAGTTCCTCGACCCTCGATCCTTCCAAGTTCGCCGCATCTCTTCGCATGCTTAACGCGGCGGCCTAATGCCCCAAGAAGCGTTTTTTCAAGCGCGCCGCAGGATGGCCACCAGGGCGACGTCGCGCGCAATCCTGTGCTCATGGCAGAAGCTTCGAAGCATTGTTGGCGGCCTGTCTGAGACTGAAGGGAGGGAGGCGTGCTGGCCTCCAGCTGCGGCTGTGGGGCCGCGGCAGTTTCATCGGGCCCACCGTGCACATTTGTTTTTCTGCACAGAGAGCCTCGACCCTCGATCGTCCACATCCCCCAACCCGCGCCCTCGGAGGAGTTCGACCGCGGCCGCCCCTGCCAGTGCAACCAGCAGTGCCTGAGGCACAGCAACTGCTGCTCGGACTACGACACCGCGTGCGCCGCCGCCAGTCCGCCGCCCAGCGGCCAGGTGCCGCTCGCCGCGCCGCTGGGCGGGACCGCGGCGGCCGTCGCGCAGTCGGCGCCGCCGACGCGGGCGGAGGCGGAGCAGATGGCGGCCTCGATGGCGGCGTCTTCGCCCGCCGCACCGCTGGGTGACACAGCGGCGGCCGTCGCGCAGTCGGCGCCGCCGACGCAGGCGGAGGCAGAGGAGAAGGAGGAGCGGACGGCGGCCCCGATGGCGGCGCCTCTGCCAGGACGGCCCTCCGCCGCGGCTCCAGCGCCGCCGCCGCCCGCCGCGGCCGAGGCAGGCCTCGCCTCGGGCGGCAACGCCACCGAGGCGTGGGCCTGCTACGCCTACGACTCCACCAGCGGGGAGTCCGACGAGTGGTGCCGGGCGGTGGGCACGGCCCAGGATTGAGAGCAGGCAAAGATATACAGATGCCGCTGCCCTTGCCTCGTTCTCGCCTTTTCTGGCCTTCTTGGAGTCTCCCATCGCCACCGCTGGATTCGCCTCGAAATTCTTTACGCTTCGCGTATCCCCACCAGCCCATCTCACAGCAGCAACTCTCGCGAAGCATGCCGACAGTCGTGTTTTTCAGGCGTGTGTCCGCTTGGCCCCGCATATCTCCCCTGTTCCTCCTTCCTCCCGCCTCCTTGTACATCCTCCTTGTGAGGGGAGCGGGAGAAGGACGAGGCGGAGGAGGAGGGAGAGAAAGCGCTCCTCGTGATTTGAGTCGTTTGGGGTTTCTCGTCCTGGTGTGAGTCGTTCGGGCCCTTCTTCCTGGTGTGAGTCGTTCGGGCTCTTCGTGGTGTGAGTCGTTCGGGCTCTTCGTCCTGGTGTGAGTCGTTCGGGCTTCTCGTGGTGTGAGTTGTTCGGGCCCCTCATCCTGGTGTGAGTCGTTCGGGCCCCTCCTCCTGGTGTGACTCGTTCGGGCTCCTCGTGGTGTGAGTCGTTCGGGGCCCGCGTCGTGGTGTGAGTCGTTCGGGCTCCTCGTGGTGTGAGTCGTTCGGGCGCCTCGTCCTGGTGTGAGTCGTTCGGGCCCCTCCTTGTGGTGTGAGTCGTTCGGGCTCTTCGTGGTGTGAGTCGTTCGGGCCCCTCGTCCTGGTGTGAGTCGTTCGGGCTCCTCGTGGGGCCTCTTGGGGGCCTCTTGGAGCCTCGTGGGGCCTCTTGGGGGCCTCTTGGGGGCCTCTGGGGGGCCTCTGGGGGGCCTCTTGGGGCCTCGTGGGGCCTCTTGGGGGCCTCTTGGGGGCCTCTTCTTGGGGCCTCGTGGGGCCTCTTGGGGGCCTCTTGGGGGCCTCTTGGGGGCCTCTTGAGGCCGCTTGGGGGCCTCTGGGGGGCCTCTTGGAGGCCTCTTGGGGGCCTCCTGGGGGCCTCTTGGGGCCATCTTGGGGCCTCTTGCGACCTCCTCAGAAGCGCAAGTGAGAGCTGCCCCCTGAGAAGGACAAAATGAGCCCAAAACCTTCGTAAAATCAATGATGTTGCTATGAGGGAAGATGAGCGCGGCCTCCTCAGAAGGCCAAAATGGGGCCAAAACCTTAGTAAAATCAATGCTTTCTGCTTCAAAGACGAGCAGAGGGGCCAAACTCGCCCCCCCCGTCGGGGCCAGAATCCTCGTGAGGGTCGTCGTTTTTTGGCCCTCCCAGGAGTCGAAAAAAAAAACCTCCAACGACCCGCGGGGCACCCTCTCCAGGTCCAGGGGGAGGGGGTAAGGGGGAGGGGTAAACCCCTCCCCGAAGGGGAAGAAGGGGGGTTGAGGACAGAGCGGGCTTTTTAAACCACTCACGCCCAAAGGGCTGGTGGGATTGGAAGAGAAGTTGTTCTCCTGGCTGAAGAGGCACGACCAGGAGACGGGCAACATTCCAAGCATCTACCCATTGGCCAAAGGCATGCCCATTCGGTTGACGGACAACGTCGATCGAAGCAGACAACTGTACAGACACCGAAAGGGAGTGATTTCCGGATGGTCTCTGGCGCCTGATTGTAGTCCCCAGGAGACCGAGGGCGAGTTCATATTGGATAGGTTGCCCTTGGTTATCTATATATCCATTTCCCAGAAGCACAGTGGAGCATAGGGAAGCTGCCGACGGGCGTATACCCGTTGAAGCGGAGATCCAGGACCTGGAAAGTCAACAAGCATACGGGCATCGAAGCCCGACGCACGGGCTTCTGGATTCTCCCCGACTTCGCTTCCACCGCTCACATGATGCCTACGTATGCTTGTCCAGAGTGAAGCGATTGCCAAACATCTGCGTCATGCAGCCATTCTCGACCTTTCTGTTCGGCCTCGGCAACCCAGTGGGGCCCGAGCGACTGATGCGGAAGCTGTCTGGCCAGATCACAGCAGACGAGGCGATCCATGAATGGAGTACGCTTGATGACGAGGCCGCTGAAGCTGAGAAGATGGACCCCATGGCGAGGAAGCACCTGCGCGCCTGCTGCTACCTCAAAGGGAAGCAGGAGTACATGCTCGACGCTCGCGACTTCGGCATGAAAGCAGCCGCCGACTTCTACGAGAAGTACGCGTCGCAAGGGAGGTGGACGAGATGCATGGACTGCGCGCGCGAGATCGGCCCAATGCCGCGTCGGTCTGCGCGGGCGGCCGAGGCTTCCCAAGGGATGGCCGATGGAGGCGCTCCTAGGAGAATCCCGCCTGACCATTCAATATGCAAGCGGTGCGTGGAACGTGATGACTGGAAGATGAGCCTGACCCCGCAGAGGCACGGGCGTTCTGCTTGCAAAGATGTTTTTTGAGGAAGGCGTGTGGAGCGCGAATATTATGAAGCACCATCGGTGTTCCGATAGAGACCTCGCGTGCCCGGGCCGCGCAGAGCGAGGGCTCGCGCCCGGCAACGTCGACGAGCACCAGTGCGATGATTGCTTGAAACATTTGGGCAGCCTCGCGTTCGACAAGCAATTGCTGTACAATGCGAAGAGGCGGGGGAAGGTTCGTTTGGTGCGCCTGGACTGTCAGACGAAGCTGCGGTGCGGAAAGTGCACAACGGCTTATGAGCTGAAGTACTGGTCGAAGTCAGAACGCAGGCATTACGCGTCTTCTCGGGGCACATCTTTTGTCTGCAAAGAATGCCGCGCGCTGGGATTCGACCCGGCGGACCTGGAGACGCACATGTGCAATGTGTGCTCTTGCAGGTTCGGCGCCCGTAAGTTCAACCAAACGCTTCTGGAGCACCACAAGAATCACAATCGCCAGAAGCTACAGTGCAAGGAGTGCGTCGCTGGCATCGACGAACGAGTGCGCAACCTGCGCAAAGCGCTGCAGAAGAGCAAGCGAAAGTGCAAGTGCCTTTGCCGCATTCACCAGGCCCAATGCCCGCTGACCCCCGTCTTTTTCGGAGAGAAACGCTGGCCGGGAAGCGACGGAGCGATATCCGCCGACGACCGAAAGTTCTTGGACGAGTTGCAACCGATTCCCGCATGGTGGAGCAAAGCCTGGGGACGATGAGGCACGGCGCGGAGGCCGTCGGCCCAGACTTGATACTGGCGACATTATCTCTAGGCATAGTGAGGCTGAAAACGGGACGTTACCTGAATGGGTTCGGGGGTTCATGTATACATGGCTACGGCGTCGGTATCTACCCATTGGTGGATGTGCCACTACTCATTGTCCGTGGCGGCTCAGGTGGCCTGTATTATAGGGATCAGCTTGGTGGTGGGACGCGTACTCCACTCAGCTGAGCCCCGAACGCTTCAGGTGGGCTCTACTATAGAAAACAGCTTGCTGGTGGGACTTGTATTGTAGTCGGCTGAAGCCCGTACTTTGGTTCTCGGGTGCTGGTTACTGCACTCTGTGATGGTGCTGATTATCCTGTTCTGGTGAAAGTGCTGGTCATTATACTCCGTGATGGTTCATTGGTACGAAGATTACGTCTAGTTCATAGTCTGTCCTCCAGTACTGCTGAGACCCATACTTACCACTATGGATTTCACGCTGCTGTAAGAGAGTATGTCTGGGTACAGTGAGGCTGGACACTGGATGTTGCCTCAATGGAGTCTGGGGCTTACAGCGTTCGATGCGAAAACATGTGTGTCCTCTTCACAGTCCTCCTTCTCCGCCTCTGCCTCGTTTGATCCGTTCTGGTGTGAGTCGTTCGGGCTCTTCGTCCTGGTGTGAGTCGTTCGGGCTTCCCGTGGTGAGAGTTGTTTGGGCCCCGCAACCGGGTGTGGGTCGTTCGGGCCCCTCCTCCTGGTGTGACTCCTTGGGGCTCCTCGTGGTGTGAGTCGTTCGGGGCCCTCGTCGTGCTATGAGTCGTTCGGGCTCCTCGTGGTGTGAGTCGTTGGGGCGCCTCCTCCTGCTGCGAGTCGTTCGGGCGCCTCATTCTGGTGTGAGTCGGTCGGGCTCTTCGTGGTGCGAGTCGTTTGGGCTCCTCGTCCTGGTGTGAGTCGTTTGGGTTCCTCGCGGCGCGAGGCGCGCGGGCACCTCGTCCCCTTTTGGGGCGTCTTGGGGGCCTCTTGGCGGCCCCAGGGGCTTCTAGGAGTGTCTTGGGTGGGTTTGGGGAGCCTCTTCAGGCCTCATGGGGGCCTCGTGGAGGGCGCTTGGAATGCTTGGGGTCCTCTTGGCGGCCCCAGGGACTTCCAGAAGCGTCTTCGGTGCTTCGGGGGGGCCTCTCGGGGCCTCTTGGTGAGCTCTTCGGGGCATCTTGGGAGCCTCTTGAGGGCCTCCCTGGGGCCTCGTGAAACCATCTTGGAGCCTCTTCCCGTCAGAAGAGGAAATGGAGGCCACAAGCTTCGCGACATGAATGATGTTGCCTTGAAGGACGAGGGGGGATTTCATGAGCGCTGCCCCCTCAGAAGGCGGAAGTGGGGCCCACATCGTAGTAAAATCAATGAGTATGGCTCCACAGAAGAGGAGAGGGTTTTTCTCCCTTCCGCCGTGTCAGTGCGATACCTTCACGGTTTTCCTGATGTGAGTCGTTCGGGCCCCCCCCCCCTCCTGGTCAGAGTCGTCGGGGCCCTTCCTCGATGTGCGAGTCGTTCGGCGAGGGGCCCGAACGAGTCACACAAGGAGGGGCCCGAACAACTCACACCAGGGTGGGGGGGCCCCAACTACTGACACCACGTGCATCCTGGTCGAGGACGTGCACACTCTGAGTTGCGTGATTCCCCAGATCTGTTCGAGGGGGCCGATCTTGGAGGCTGTTTCCCCTTCTGCTCCGCTTCCACCTCCCCCCCGAAGCTGCCGCCTGGTGCCCGCGCCCGACTTAATGGGCGAACCTGCTTTTGAGGTGCAGCTCAGAGCTGCGAGCCTGAGCACGGTAGACATCTGTGCCGCGTGCGCACTGCAGAACTGGACAGGAAAGATCGCTGGATCGTCGACGCCGTCGCCCATTCAATCGTCGTCGTCGAAGCCGTCGTTGTCATCGTAAGCATGGTCGCGCCGTCGTCGGCGTCGTCGCCGCCGCCGTCGTCTGAGAAGTCGCCGTCGCATGTGTCGCTGAAGTCGATTGCGTGTAGGACTCGAGGAGGGCCGCCTTCTGTCTGGGCTCCCATCGCCTTCTCTCCCTCCTCCTCTTCCTCCTCGTGGGCTCCCTCTACCATATAGATGTAGGAAGATAAAAGAAGATACAGGAGAAAGAAGACGCAGGGGATGTGCGCGAGGGCACGCAGAGACACGCCTGAAGCACACCACGGTCGGCATGCTTCGCTAGAGTAGTAGTGGTGGTAGTAGTTGTGGTAGTTGTATTGTAGTAGTAGTACGAATATTACTAGTAGGAGTAGGAGTAGGAGTAGTAGTAGTAGTAGTAGTAGTAGTAGTAGTAGTCGTAGTAGTAGTAGTAGTAGTAGTAATAGTAGTAATAGTAGTAATAGTAGTAGTAGTAGTAGTAGTAGTAGTAGTACTACTAGTTCTAGTTCTATTACTACTACGAGTAGTAGTAATAGTCGTAGTCATAGTAGTAGGAGCAGGTATAGGTGTAGCAGATGGAGTGGTGACATGAGGAGGTCGAGGTGTCGTAGTAGTAGCTCTAGATATAGTAGAAGTAGGAATCGTCGTAGTACCAGTAACAATACCAGTAGTAATACTCGTACAAGTAGTAGTAGTAGTAGTAGTAGTAGTAGTAGTAGTAGTCGTAGTAGTAGCAGTAGTAGTACGAGTAGTGGTAGTGGTAGTAGGAGAAGCAGTACGAGGAATAGCACTAGCAGTAGCTGTACCAGTAGCAGTAGCAGTAGCAGTCGTTCGGGATAATCGTGGTGTGAGTCGTTCGGGCCCCTCGTCCTGGTGTGAGTCGTTCTAGCAATAGCAGTACCAGTAGCAGTAGCAGTAGCAGTCGTTTGGGCTAATCGTGGTGTGAGTCGTTCGGGCACCTCGTCCTGATGTGAGTCGTTCGGGCTCCTCGTGGGGCCTCTTGGGGGACTCTTGGGGCCTCTTGGGGCCTCTTGGGAGCCTCTTGGGGGCCTCTGGGGGGCCTCTTGGGGGCCTCTTGGGGCCTCTTGGGGCCTCTTGGGGGCCCTCTTGGGGGCCTCTTGGGGGCCTCTTGGGACCGCTGGGGCGCCTCTGGGGGGCCTCTAGGACGCCTCTTGGGAGCCTCCTGGGAGCCTCTGGAAGCCATCTTGGGGCCTCTTGCGGCCTCCTCGGAAGCGCCAGTGAGAGCTGCCTCCTGAAAAGAACAAAATGAGCCCAAAACCTTCCTAAAAGCAGTGATTCTGCTATGAAGGAAGATGAGCGCGGCCCCCTCAGAGCGCCAAAATGAGGCCAAAACCGTAGTAAAATCAATGATTTTAGCTTTAAAGAAGAGCAGAGGGGCCAAAGTGGGCCCCCCCGTCGGAGCCAGAATCCTCGTGAGGGTCGTCGTTTTTTTGGCCCTTCCAGGAGTAAAAAAAAAAACCTGACGACGCTCGGCCCGCCCTCTCCAGGTCCAGGGGGAGGGGGTAGGGGGAGGGGTAAACCCCTCCCCGAAGGGGAAGAAGGGGGGTTGGGGGGTTGAGGACAGAGAAAGCTCGCTGAACCACTCACGCCCAAAGGGCTGGTGGGATTCTGAGCAGAACTCACCCTGGGAGAGGTCCAGTGAGTAGCGATATCAGTTTCTTTTGGTCTCCCCAAGGACGACGGCTGGGAGTACCGGCTCGTGGCCAGCGCGCGATTAGGAGTGAAGGCATCAGGCTTGGAGTGCGGCAGCGGCTGCAACTGTTGCCGGCGCCGGGTCGGCGAACAAGCGGGCGGAGTGCCCTCGAGCAGCAACAGCAGCGGTTCCGCCGCCACGTCGGGCGTCCCCAGCATCAGCAGCGGTGCCGCCGCCGCGACGGGCGCCACGCCTTTCACGACCGCCAGCACGGCCGGGGGCGCGGCCGCGGGCGCCGCCGCTCCCTCCGCCGGCGAGGGGCTCGCCGACGGCAGCCGTCTGGCGTCTCCGGCCTACGCTGTCGCAGCGGAGCCCGCCGCCGAGCCCGCCGGGCCCACCGGATCGCTCGGCAACGGCCCGCCGACGGGCGCCCTCTCCAGCAGCCAGGGCGGCGCCGCCGTCGTTCCTTTTGGGGGAGGCATCCTAGACGACATGTCGGTCAGCGAGCATGGCTCCCTGGACAGCCTCCCCTCCCTCAACGACGGCGCCTGGGGCGACGACGGCACAG